AATCTCTACTTATTATCGCTGTACAATTGCGCCTACCAAACCTGTGTTTTGTGGGGTTCCCTCTTACCCTTAACCCCACAAAGTAGGTAGCAGTATCATGTGTGCTTCTGGAAACATGGGCCATATATGTCATGCAGGTTCTATTGGTCCAGTTGTGAGGACTTTTTTCTTTACATTGAGTTGTAATCAGTACTGAAGGCAGGAATCTTTTGTCTTCATCAGTAAGGGTTTCACATCCTCCTGGGTTTTAGCAGAAAGGTCAACAGACTACGACAGGTTGTTCCTGAGCCTTTCTCAATCCTGATGCTGTGTTCTTCTTGCTATTGCCTAGCTTCCTGGAGGATTTGCTGAGCCTACAGATTGAGTGAGTATGGGGAAAGGATACAACCCTGGCACATCCTTTTCCTAACGTTAAACCGTGCAGTCTCCCCTTGTTCTGTTCGAGTAACTACTTCTTGGACTGTGTCCAGTTCTGCTATGAGCACAAGGACATGTCAGGAATTCCCATTCTTCGCCATGTGATCCACAGTTTGTTGTGATTCCGACAGTGGAACGCCTTTGCAGAGTCAATAAACCACAAGCAAACATCTTTCTAGTGCTTTCTGCTCTCAGCCCAAATCCAGGGACATCCTTCCTGTCATGTTCTCCTTCCTGAACCCAGCTTGAGTTTCGGCAGCTCTCTTTCCATGGCCTGCTGCAACCACTTGTGAATGATCTCCAGCAAAATTTTACTTGCAGGTGACAATACTGTCCAGTCACTCCCACATTCTCTTGGGTTCCTTTTCTTCCGAATGGGCACAAATAGGGTCTAGTGGCAGTGATGCTACTGAGACAGGACACAGACTATAGGATGAGGCTGTATCTTGAGTCAATCTCCTTAAAGTAGGTAAATAAAGAGAGAGAGGAAGGATCTTCTGTCACAAAGAAGAAGAGCCAAGAACAGAGATCATCCTCTGGACCTACAGGCCCTGTGCTGAAAATGTCCTATGGAGCCACAGAGATTGGTGCTGAGGACCTGCCATTAGAGCCCACACAAAGAGAAAGCCTTTTCCTGGAGCTTCCACCTTCAAATGAAACATCTTATCCGCTAAACTCCGAGAGAACAAGTCTGTGGAAGCTAAAGCTAACCACTCGATACTCCTATGATAGCAGCACCGGATAACAAACACCCCCTTGCACTTTGATTTTCTAATTCCACAGACCGTTCCCAGTTGGACGCTGCTCTGCACGTGGCTATGAACTACGGACACACAAGCATATGCTTACTCGGGATAATCACACCAATTGCTGCTCTAGTCACCTCTCAGAACAAAATGATTGCCACCTGATAGATACAAGCGGGTTTGGGAAGGTTTGCGGAAAAAATGAAATGGACAGATAATGGAATGTTTGCACAAACGTTCTGAAGTCCTCTCATAAGCCTTAGAAGAGACAGAGAATGGGCTATGGATTTGTACTGTGTCCGTCCTCACTGCCCAGCCCCCGAATCTGTGCTGTAAATCCTAACCCATAGGGTGGTTACAGTACTGTTTAGAAATGGGTTTTCAAGTGGGTGTTAACAAACCCAGGGACAAGGGAACAACAAATAATCCAAAGTCAATGGTGAGGAGGGTGTAGGAGGCCTGGTTGGGCTTGATCAAGGACAATGTAAATGAGAGGAATTATTGAAACCCAAGTGAAGGCTGAACATGATAGTGGGACAAGATGAAAGTATAGGAAAAGGAGGAAAGAGCTAGCAGGCAAAGGGCATTTATAGAGGCCTAAATACAAACATATACATATGCAAATATATTTATATATGATGATGGGGAAATAGATCTATGCACATATATTTATACGTTTAGTATTAAAGTAGCAGATGGACATTGGCACTCAATGCAAGAATACTTTGTTCTATTAAATTAGCATTCCATGATGATTGCCTTCCCAACACAATCACTGAAGACAAAGCAGGTGCACAAATAAATGTGGTGAAGAAAGTTGCTGGTGCCTGGCTATCAAAACATATAGTGTTTGGGTCTTAAAGGCTTGAAGATAAATAAGAGGCCATCTAGCTGAGAAGCAATAAAGTCCATATGGAAGAAGCACACCAGCCTGTGTGATCACGAGGTGTCGATAGGATCAGGTATCATGCATCAAAGAACAAAAAAAAATATATCATTGTGAATGAGGGCGAGCATGGAGTAGAGACCCAAAGCCCATCTGTAGGCAACTGGACATCTCTTTACAGAAGGGATGCGGATGCATTATAGCACTGATGAAACATACAACTTCCCTCTAGTTCTTTAATGCTTTCTCCTCCCCCCCCAGCCCCCGCACTATCATGATCCCAATTCTACCTTACAAATCTGGTCAGACCAGAAGATGTACACTGGTACAAATAAGAGCTGGAAACACAGGGAATCCAAGACAGATAAACCCCTCAGGACCAATAATGAGAGTAGCAATACCAGGAGGGGAAGGGGAAGGTGGGGGAGAAAGGGGGAACTGATTACAAGGATCTACATATAAAGCCCTCCCTGGGGGATGGACAATAGAAAAATGGGTGAAGGGAGACATCAGACAGTGTAGGGCATGAAAAAATAATAATAATTTATAAATTATCAAGGGGGAGGGAGGGATGCAGGGGGAAAATGAGGACCTGATACCAAGGGCTCAAGTAGAAAGTAAAATGTTTGGAGAATGATGATGGCAACAAATGTATAAATGTGCTTGACACAGTGGATGTCTGTATGGATTGTGATAGGAGTTGTACGAGCACCCCCAAAATGATTTTAAACAAAGAAAGAAATGGATTTTCTTTGATTTGTTAGGTAAGTGATTTGAATGTAAGGTGTATCTTCAATCACCCTCTTCTTAAGATATCCATAAAAGAACAAAATTAAGCAAGTCAACGTGGGGTGCGACAGATGCCAGACCACGTGACAAGTATAAGGAAACCTTGGGACCAGGGCCTTCCCCCAGAGCCCAGAGACGGGAGGACTTCCGGTCCTGAATTTGAACATTGAGCCTTCCAAATTGTACAAAAATCTATGTTTGTCTATTAAATATCACCAGTTGTGGTATCTCTGTTACTGCAGCACTTGATCACCCAAATAGTATAACACCTCATCCTTCTTTGCAGGTATGAGGGGGGCAACTAGAGCACCCTCAAGAACGTAATCTGCGCCTTGCTCCCTTCCCGGCCATCCTGGCGGCTGCTCTTGGTCGGGGGCCGTCCCGCACCTAAGACAGGAAGATGGTGGCCGCAAAGAAGACGAAGAACTCGCTGGAGTCCATCAACTCAAGGCTCCAACTCGTTATGAAAAGTGGAAAGTACATGCTGGGCTACAAGCAGATGCTGAAGATGATCAGGCAAGGCAAAGCGAAACTGGTCGTCCTGGCCAACAACTGCCCAGCCTTGAGGAAATCAGAAATTGAGTACTATGCCATGTTGGCCAAAACCGGTGTCCATCACTACAGCGGGCACAACATCGAGTTGGGCACGGCGTGTGGCAAGTCCTGCAGGGTGTGCACACTGGCCATCACCGACCCCGGGGATGCTGACATCATTAGAAGCATGCCAGAACAGACTGGTGAAAAAGAAATCCTGCAATATTTTTCTTTAATAAAACTGGCCAGAGCTTGTTTAAAAAAAAAAGAACATAATCTGCCTTGCAGGTCTGGCTAGACTGGAGGATGTACAGTGGTACAGATGGGAACTGGAAGCACAGGGAATCTGGGCGGATGATCCCTTCAGGACCAGTGGTGAGAGTGGCGGTGCTGGGAGCATGGAGGGAGGGTGGGTTGGAAGGGGGAGACTGTAGGGATTTGCATGTGGCCTCCTCCCTGGGGGACGGACGCCAGAGGGGTGAATGAGGGGAGACGTCGGACAGGGCATGATATGACAAAATAATAATTTATAAATTATCAAGGGCTCATGGGGGAGGGGGGACCGGGGAAGGAGAGGAAGAAAGATGGGGACCTGATGCCAGGGGCTTAGGTGGAGAGCAGGTGTTTTGAGAGTGATGAGGGCAATGAAGGTGCAGGTGTGCTTTGCACAGTTGATGTGTATATGCATGGATTGTGATGGGAGTTGTATGGGCCCCTAATAAAACGATTAAAAAGCCCCCCAAAAAACGTAAACTCAAAACTTCCTTCTTGATGCCACTCTCCGATCATCCAGCAACAACAGGATGTTAGATACCAAGGATCCCTCATGAAATGGGGTGTGGAAAGAATGCATTGACTAAGAATATCAAATTAACACAGATCAGATTCTGAAACTATGTCTCTCTAATAGATATTGATGACATTGGAAACTAAAATTAACCAGCAATCAATAGGCTGTAGGAAGTCTGAGCAATGGGAGAGCTATTTATAGGACTTCATTTTCTCTCCTTACACCCTCTCCCCTCTTTTTAATCTCACCCATTCCTCCCAACACAACCAAGGAGGAAGGGAAAGAGAGAAAATGATTCAGATCAGATTTCCCTCAACAAAAATCCCACCCAACTGCTGCATAAAACAAGTATGACATTAAATTAGCTCTGAACTTCGTATCTGGTTCTTAACTACCATGGTGCACCGTATGTCAGGTTTCCCATGAGGAATCCCTTCCCAGCACTTAAGACTGGTATCAAGATTGTTGCGTGCTGTCAAGCTCATTGGGAGAAAGACAAGGCTATCAAGTGCCTCAAAGTGTTAGTCTTGGAAGCCCATGGGAGGAGTCCTAGCTTGCTCTGTACACAGTCACTCTGAGTGGGAATGAACTCCAGGGAAGTGAGTCTGGTTTGGGTTTCTGGTCAAGCTCATTCCCACTCACATCGAACTGCTAGACCGAGCAGAGCTGACCCACAGGGTTTCCTAGGCTGAGGCCTTCATGGGCATAGATCTGCAGGTCTTTCTCCCGTGGGTGTGCTCCATTGCATCATCAAATCTCCTGGACGTTGGAGACTGAATGGGCTGAGAAGTCAACTGGAGTGGATTGTAAATATACGAACAATGTGTATGTTAAATATTTGGGCCCAGTGGCAGTTTCTGAAGGAGGAGAGCTTATTAGTCATGCGGCATGAGACAGACGGCCTTCTCAACTTTCCCTCCCTCCATCCCTTTAGCAGGGATAATGGTGTCTACCTCATGGGACGATGTGCAAATTAAATGGGTATTTTGTAAAGCGCTTCACACAGCGTGTGGCACATAGTAGCCTCCCAATCCACATCCATTTCTGTCTTCCGAGGGAAACACCTGGTCATTGAAAGGCTATTTCTGTTCAACAACATGTTCTCATTAAAGGGCCTCCGAGTTCACGATGACCCCATCAATCAGTCTATTGCCTTGTCTGCATCATGTGACCTCCTACCAATAGCCAAGTGCAAGCTCGATACAAGGGCTGGTGGTTCTCCCCACTGTTCTCCTTGCTGGTGGGGGTTAGGTGCCACTGAGTCAGCTCACGTACAACCCTACAAAACACAGTCTCCAACTGTTATTAAGCTGACACTCAACAGTCACTGGTGTTGTTATGAGCGGTGGTAGAGCAAACCCACATGGCTGGAGGCTCAAGGTATAACAGAAAGAAATGCTACTTGGTCCCACACCATCCCTTGCCCCTCCATGGGTTTCACAGGAGACTTCTCTGCTCCACAGGGTTTTCACTGGCTTCCTCTCGAAGTGGATTGTCACACGTCTTTCTCCAGACCAGCTGCGCCTGAACTCCACTGAGCCCTGGCTAGCATCATCGCCACCCACAACAGGTGGTCACGGCTGGGCCCTAAGTGTCTTCACTGGGGAAAGGAACCCAGGTTTCCCACACAGGAGGTGAGAATTCTCCCATGGAACCACCAGCTGCCTCAGCTGGAACATTCTCCATGCAAAGTGAAACAAAGCCACGGATTACAGAGCTGGGAAGGTCGGGAAATGAATGGGGAGCGTACTGCAGTGTGACACTGGGAAGTACTGACTCATAAAGACACAGGGTCAAGGCCCTGCCCCAAGCACCACCTTGCTACAGAGCTGCGGCCTCATGCACTAGTGTAGGACGGACGGCCTTTATCCCATTCCTTCAATCTACTTTGTGTTATTTTGAGTTACTGGAAGAGTTTTAATTTCCTGGCATCAAAAAAAAATTCAAAAAATTTCCACTAAACTATATAACAGGAAGTGAGCTGTTTTAGATGGGTGGTGGTGGCAATTTGGAAAAAAAAAAACTTCAAAGTAACTCTATTAGCCAGCTGTCACCAGTCTGCGGGCACCGTAGTCCTAAGCCTGAGTAACTACTGGTTACCCTTTTCCACATCAATAACTACAATATTTTATACTATAAAGTTGAAATAACATAAAGCTCTCATTCTAAATCCATGTCTTTTCTTTTCTTTTTTTAAAACACAGGGACAGTCGGTGTCAGGCAAAATAAATCATTTACCTGAAAAATTACATTTCTTGTAACAAGTAAAACAGTTGCAATTCCTTAACTCTTTCATAATGAAAACAACATTTTCTTTACAACATAATTGCTATAGTAGTGTGTATTATGATTTCTCAATTAAAGCCAAAAAGTCCAAAGCTATACTTCGCTGATTCTGATGACATCATTGGACCCAATACATTATATGTAGTAGATATATATGAAACATATATGAATGCTTTTTATAAGGAAATCATTGCAAGAAGGTACAGGTGAGGGAAGTATTTACAGAGACACCCCTAAATATGTCTGCATCCCTCCATCCATTACACAGTGCTACATAGGAGAGAATCCTTCCACCTCTCCTTGACACAATTGGAAACCACCTCTGTCTAAGTGTCTATGTATATCCAGGGCTTACAATTATATTAAATAATGCCTCTCATCTTTATTCTGTCCATTGCCTCTGCATTAAAACAAACACATCTGGGCCCTCGAGGCTGTAATCTTCCAGGAAGCAGGCTGCCCATTTTCCTTCAGGGCGGTTGTGGGTTTGAGCCTCCAAAGAGTAGCAATTGAGCCTTTCATCACTCTATCACCTGGCCATATGTTGCCAATCATCCCTCCCTCCCTCACTGCCACCGAGTCGATGCCAACTCACAGTGCCCCTATAGGATGGGTGGATGCCGACTCAGAGATCCCAAAGGACTGGGTAGAACTGCGCCTGTGGGTTTCCAGGACTGTAACTCTCAATAGGAGTAGAAAGACTAGTATATCTCCCGTGGAGCAGCTGGTGGTTTCAAACTGCGGGTCTCATTATCATTTATTTTTAAATACCCCCTAACAGCCCCCCAAAAGTAATTTATGGAGAAGTCTAAAGTAACTTTTGAACAAACTCAAGATAAAACTACTCAAATTACTGTAAAAATTTGTGAAGATGTAATATAAAGTATGTACGGTATTTTTTTAAAGTATTTTTACTTTATTAACATGACTTTATTTGTCATAAAGTAATGTCATGATACTTTATTAACATTAAGCTTAAACAGCCATTTTATATTATGAATCTGCGTCATGTAACACGCACGATTCCATGTGACCCTCTCAGCTCAGTCCCTGCTATGCAGTCGATTGTGACTCACAGCGACCCTGCAGAATCGGGCAGAACGACCCCTGTGGGTTCCTGAGGCCGTAACTCTTGATCGGAGTAGAAAGCCTTGTCCTTTATTCCCAAGGATCAGCTGGTGGTCTCAAACTGCTGGCCTTGCACTGATGCACAAGAAGTCTACTTCTAGGTGAAAGTCCTGGCTGAATTCTCCCACGAGCATTCAAAGAGCAGTTCTAAATGTAGAGTGTTCCTGGCATTCTCTGTATGGAAGAGTGACCGACAAAGGAACGCAAGGGCAGGATCAACTGATGACGAGGTATTCCCACGATGCCGGATCTCGATGTTCTGACAGGCGAACATGAGGGAGAGTGGGTGATGGGAGCCATAAAAGCAAGCTGCGGAAAACCCCCTTAGACAGGATTCCACCGATGAAAGGAACTCCGTCGCCAGAGTGCAATGCCACACAGATTAAAGCGCAGTACTCACTCGGGAGAGGATGTGCCAAAGCACACACCGAGGCTGCCCAGCTTCATGGGGAAGCCACGTGGAAGGGGGACAGGACTTTCCTGCCTCCTGGTTTTGATGTGTCCGAGAATGGACTCTTCTGCCATGTGTGTATGTTCCACACATAATGGAGCGTCTTTTAAAAATGATGTTAAACCCTGAAGAATTGTCCCATGCTCTTCTATGAACGTCTTTACAAGGATTTCAACAATCACTTTTAAGTGTGATTATTCAAATCAAAATAAATGATTTTGAAACATGAGGCACTTCAGGGTCTGCTGTAGCATTGGTAAGACTGCCTACAGCACCTTCAAAAGACTTAGATGCCAAAAGTTACACAATGGAAAGGATTAATAAGATTAAACCAACAGATAGTAATTTACATCTGATATGCATCAGTCAGTCAAGAAGACAATTCAAAAATGTATTCCATTAATAAAAAGTTTACTTAACATTGTGTGTGTGTGTGTGTGTGTGTGTGTGTGTTCGCTTTCCCCTGCATCGAATGCCTGGTTAAATTTTTTTTCCTTTTTAATGTGGCTTTTGAAAAGACTGGATAACAATCCTGAAAAACATGTACAAATGGAGATCAAGTTTCAAGGCAACTGCCTTTGTAACTTGATGCTGCCTTTGTAAGGGCACCTGCCTCTTTTCCTGGAGCAATGAGGAGTCCTGGAAGAGTGAGGCGCCAGCTCCATCCCTGCTCCCAAAGCCCAGAGGATGAACAGGGCAGCATAGCAATGCCCTTTTCTCCCAGGGAACCCAGCACAAGCTCCTCACCAGAAAGGGTTCAGAGACGATTCCTCCAATGATGCTTTTCCCCGAGTTTGACTAAAAATAATTGCAAGCGGGAAGAAAGGGCAAACTAAAATATCATAGCATCGCAGAACCACTGCCATCCAAGGCACACGCGGTTTTGCATCTGAAGCGGACAACGGTCTCTCAGATTGTGAGCTCCCGGGAAAAGGACCGCTCACCTCTGCCTCCTAAAGATGGCTCCAGGGATTATCTGGAAGCTAAGATTATTCCACAGTTCTTCTTGGGACCAGTCCCCAAATCTGTGACCCCACGACGATCCTGCTGCTGCCTGTACTAACACGGACTGAGTTTAACCCCTCTCCATGTGGCAGCCCACAGAGACAACCACCAGCCCCAGGCGGGTTTGGCTAATGTTCTTCAGCCTCTGAGGGACTACTAGGATTATATTTCCACATTCTCAGCCCAACTGTCGTTTCTGTAATCGTTTGTGGGCCGACGATGAGTCCGTTAGCACCAACTTGGTGGCAGCAAGCTTTATAGTTTGGAAAATCAATTAATCTAAATGGGTTTCTCTTAATTTGGTCTGTTCACTGATATGATGCTATACTATTCATATTTTAATATACTTCCAGTCACTCGCTTACTATAACTAGAGAGGATCTACACAATTGGAAGCGTCAGGCCAGGCCTGGAAGAGTTGTGGTACTAAACCTCCACTGTCCCCAGAAATGTGCACAGGCATGGATGTCCTCACAAGACCAAGAGGCCCCAGAAGACCTGGGGGTGCTCTCAGATACGACCCTGAAGAAAGGAAGATGGCATGATTGACCCATTGTGAGAACTGTAATTTCTGTTCTATTTCTAGAACTGGTGAAAGTGTTATACGAAGCTACCCTCAAATTTGACCTTCGCCTTTCTGCATGGCTTCCACCATTCTTCTGGGTCAGGTGTCTTACCAGCCTGAATGCCAGCAGGAGGTCTCTCACAATGGACAAAACAACATCTGTGTCACAGGTGGGGTCAAACCTGAGTTTTATCTAGAAATACTTTCAACAAATAACCCACAAAACAATCTAAATGAAACCCATACATACAAACTGGGTACCCCCAAACAACAAGATTTTTTTAAATGCTACTAGGGGGTACTTCCCCCCCCCCCCACACACACACAAATGGGGAAAAGCTCTTGGGCGGAGCTTTTGTAGTACGCATTTTCCCCCCAAGGTGAGCATCCAGCAACTTGATTTGAGTTAGTGCACCCAGGGGCATCACCTGGGAAGGTTCTCTCTGGTCACGTTGAAATTTTTTCATAAAAGCAGTTTTGCCAGAACCTCGTTTTTTTGTGATACCTGATTTTAGAGAACAGTGGGAGGCAATGAAATTTTGTTTCCTGCTCTGGAAAAATGCAGCAGAAACTGTTGTGATGTTGAACACAGTTTACAAAGACAGCACTATGGGAAAAAACTCAAGTGTACAAGTGGTTCTGTCATTTCAAAAGAGGTAAAATGTCAATTGATGACAAACCTCATTCTGGACATCAGTCAACTTTCCAAACTGAGGAAAATGTTGACTTTTAGTGCACTTGGAGTTTGTTCCACCAACTCAAACTATTAATCAAGCTATCTATTTAGAGCAGTGGTTCTCAACCTTCCTAATGCCACAACCCTTTAATACAATTCCTCATGTTGTGTTGAGCCCCCCCGCAACCATACAATTATTTTTGTTGCTACTTCATAGCTGTAATTTTGCTACTGTTATGAATCAGGTGACCCCTGTAAAAAGGATCATTCGACCCACAAAGGGGTCACAATCCACAGGTTGAGAACCGCTGATTTAATGGGTCTCAAAAGATTGTGTAACAATGTGAAACAAAAAAGGCCTGATTTGTGGTAGATGGGAGACTGGTTTTGCCACCACAACAATACACCTGCTCACACAGCCACATCAGTTTTTTTGGCAAAAAACAGCCTGCCTCTCTTGCCCCATGCACCTTACTCACCTGACCTCATTTCTTTTTCTTTCCATGAATGAAGACGGGCATGAAAGGAAAGTGATTTGAAGACACAGAAGAGGTGAAGAAAAAAATGAGGGAGGTGCTATCAGTCATACAAATAGATGATTTTGAAAAATGTTTCCAAGAACGAAATCATAGATTTGACAAATATATTAAGTGTAATGGAGAATACTTTGAAGGTGATAAGGTTGTTTTTTTAAAAAAAAACCACACAACATAGCTTTGAAAAAATAATTCTGGTTATTTCTCGGAGGGGAGGGTAGTACCCTCTCTTATTTCTCCATGGAGATGTGGTCAACATTGGCATTGAAACCGAAACCAGCTAACTTCTTCCAGATAGACAGCTATGGTATTCAAATTACAGTATGTATTCATCTCGTGTTTATAAGTAAGGACAGGCAAAGGGCTTGTAAGTGAAAGGTTTGTAACTAAACCTTTCTAATAAGATAATGACAAGAAGTGTGTCCTGTCCCAATAAGGACAAATTTATGATTGGCAGCAAACACTTCCCTTCTCCTCCTGACTCGGTGACAAACGAGGTGCTTCCTAACTTTCAGGTAGGATATTAGAGTCCAGGGAAGGCCACTGGATGTCTGGGGAAGCCATGCCAGATTGGTATTTGTTGCCATGGAGCTAGCGCCGACCTTGCAGCTGACAAAGCGAGCCCTGTCCTGAACCTGTGCTATCTTCATGATCCTTTTTCCATGGGGCGTGAGACTCCAGGTCATGGTTGTGAATCAGGCCATTCACGGATCGTTGACTGTCTACCAAACAGGACGTCCTGAAGGCACCATAGCAGAATGCTTATAGGAATTTGTAACTTCACTTTTTAAACCGCTGTATGACCCACCCACCCCTCCCCAAACACCATGACAGGCCATTGTCTACATTGAAGAGGAGACCTGAAATGAAAATTGGCCTTACTTAGGCAGCTCTTTGCTCACATGTGAGAAAGAGGTGAGCGCTTCCCTTTCTCGACGCGAGCACGCTTGATTTTGCACAAATACTTGGTGTACTTACTGTGCCTCCTTGAAAATTTGGGCCATAAGGTTTAATTGCATGCTCATCAAGCAAACAGACTCGGAGGTATACTTTCTCAGCCTTGGGCTCCCACTGCTCCCATTAATGCTAATGGGAGTTACACATGTGTATTGAGGAGAGAATAATATGCCCTTTGAAGTTGGACTTGCTAATTGAGTGCTCTCTTCAGCTGCGCTCAGCTTCAGTGGCTAAGCTGAGTTAGAGTGGTCTAAAATGTCTGAAATGTCATTCTTGGTAAAGCCCCCAGAACATCATCAAAGCCATCTGGGCCTAAAGGAGGAGGCGGCTAGAAACAGTCTTTCTCTTCTCCGAAATGGAGAGGAATTAGCAGGGCAAACAAAAGGGGAGCTCGGAGTCTAGAGAATGGACATCCCATTCCTGTCAAGTGACTTAAGGTGATTCTACTCAGAAAGTGGGAAAGGCAGTGTGTGGGGTGTGTGTGTGTGGGGGGGGGGTATTTCCCATCCTGTGTGGAGTCTTGAGGAAGGATGAAGACTTCTCAGGACTGAATATTCTGCTGTACACTTTGATTACTAGGAAGGGGAAGTTCTTATACCTATAAGTCACGAAGCATTCTATAGTTCCACGATGCCAAGCTCATCCCCTCCCCCAATGTTCCCTTGCATACACACCTTTGAAAAGGATATGAATAAAAGTTTAGGATTCTTGGAAGGCAGAATTCTCTACAGAGAAGGGAAAGTGAGTTTGTTGAACTTAATTATCACTTCAGCGATTGCCTTCTTTAGGGCATACATACTCGTAATCTGAATTGATTTAGCAATGTTTAAAAATGATCCATTTCTTGTTGTTAATGTAATTGTCCCGAACTTGAAAGAGAAGCTTATGAATGGATAATCAGAGAGTTTATTAAGCAGTGCTAGGGAATCAAACAAGGTCCAGGGTATAGGGCTGATTTATTGATCTCGTATTGACATAATGATAACATTCATCTCCTGACCTTCAAATTACATGCAAAACTAACTTAGGTATGGACCATAAGCACCAGGCCAGAGGGAGTCAGTCCATAAACTTGTCCAGAAGGCTGAACGACAACATTTGAAATGCACACACTATGAACTCACTGAAGGAACAAGATGCCAAGAGACTTTTCCAGTTGTGTAACCTGGCAGGTGACTGAGGTTAATATTTAATTTTGTAAATTCCAGCTGATACGTAGTGTTCACATTTTTCACCTCTAACATTCAGCACGTTGCCTTGTGAGTTTGACAGCTACCATCGGGTCATCAAGGAGTTTCAACAAAACTGATGTTCACCTCAAAACAGAAGTGTCCTCTGGCTTCAAAGCCAGTGTCAGGTGATACAGAAGGGCAGCCACAGATAAGCCAGCAAGGTGCAGAGCATGGCTAACAGAAGGTGTGGAGGTGACGACTAGGAGAAGGACTTCATGTGCCCCACCCAGGAAGGTTACAGGCGGATTCTCTCCTAGCCGCAATCTCCTTCACGAGGTTGAGGAGGGTACTTAAGCAGGTCGTCTGTTCAGAGCCACCCTTCAGATGGAAGACAAGAGTCCGTGTGATGACAGAGGGCCCTGGAAACGCTGTTCTTTGGTTCGGTGGCTTTTCATTCCTCATTATCTATTCTGTGGCTTCGTATTATTCGGTATAAAACTGCCAGTCACTGAGCTGTGTTATGAATCTTGCTGCAACAATTATGTCTTCTACGTTGCCAAGACTACCTTCACCACCAAACACGAGACTCCTCTGGAGTTTCAGCTGGCAGAAGACACAGCCACTTCCTTATTTAGAAACACTTCAGTTGGGAATGGTTGAAGTGCAGGTTGTCAACAAACAAGATGACAAGGATTTTAATACTTATTTAAGCACAACCACACGTTTCTTCTATTACATCTAAATCATTCGATCTAAAGTCTGTTTCTTTATCCCCCTTGACTTGTCTTTATAAAATATAACAATCAAGAGAAGATTCTTTTGGCATAGTGGTTTAGGGCTCTGCTGCTGGGTGAGAAGATAACGAGAAGATGATGCAGTTCTGTCTAGTACAACTCAAAATATGCTCACAGAGCGGTCAGGTGGGCCAGGGGATATAGCAAAAGTGGAGACCTCCTGAAGACATCTGCTGACATATTTGTGGAAGAAAGGGAGAGAGCGAGAGAGAGAAGAAAGCAGTGGTTGGAGAGGGGAATGGAACTCCTGATTCAGGACCGGTCTACAGGCAAGTCCTTTCTTGGGCCTGGGGCAGTCGTGGTCTCTGTACGTTTCAGCAGAAGGGAAAGGAAGTATAATATTATTTTATAGAACTGC